TTTTTTTTTTTTTTTTTTTAATGAACTCTATTGCACAAAATAGCTAAACAAATTATGGGGTAGAAGCAAATGTCTACCATACCATCAGCATTCAAGACCTGAAGAAAAGAGTGGAAACTTTCAGGGTCTGAATGCAAGAGTGGAAAAGCTAATTGAGCACAAATGAAAGAATCCATTACGGCTGGAAGGATAAGTAAGAGTACAGGCAGGACAATACTCTCATTTATGATTCAAATATCCAGGGATAGTGCAGCACAGCTTTAAATACAATTTACAGCCTTGATTAAAAATGACTATGTGCATCAACTTGGAAGGAATGCAAAAAGTACAAGAGAGAAAGCACCTGCCTTGTCTAAAAGGGAAGAAAAAGGGATAAGTGAAGCCTGAATGAGGCTGGACATTCACAAGCAATTGGAATGTACAGAATTATGGAATCACTTTTTTTAGCTGGAGATCAACTGATTAGTGGGCAAGGCGGCCCACGTTTAAAGCAACTGATTTGCTGCGTGAAAAGATTATAAGGGAGATTTATGCCAGATAAACAGAGATTTCTACCAGATAATCACTGTGATCTGAGGGAAAAGGGAGTTCATACTGCCCCTGTGTCTTCTGCAAGCAAAATTTAAAAATATGATTGTGGAAAAGGCAATAAGCACCAGAAACACAGAACAAGGCTACACTCCTGCTCTCATGGTGGGGGAGGGAGCAGAAGGGAGGGCAGCTTTTTCCTCGACTTGCATAGGCCTTAAGCTACTCCTTTTCTTCTGTAAGGTGACTTCATCTTCAGACTGTTCTAACTTTTTCAGCTACTTGAAGTTCTTACGGACTCTTACCTCTAGTGAATTATGATTTATTTGTCCCAAAATGATGATAATTGAAGTGCCTTCTTAAAATAATGACAGCATTTGTTCTTGATGATCTTCTGTCCTAGACACGGGTACAGAGGTTAGCCATGTTTGTCTGAAATCAGGCAAAAGATAGTCTCCAGTGTCACCACGTACTACATGGGTCAGAGAGGCATGAGCTTTTGTAGGCAACAGACTGCTTTGTCAGATGCTATGAATGGACTACCTTCTATCTTAGGGGTGAAATACTAGAAGCCAGTAGATGGCCATTAGCACCTCTGGGCATTTATACGTGTGCTCTGGGAGTGAGCACTTTAATAAGAGTGGGTCTTGGAGCGGCTCTAATTAAAGTGCCTGGAGCATCTCGTGTATTAATGTCCCTGTGCCAAAGAATGGTGGCGGGGGTGATTTAACTAAAGCTCATGGCATGGTAATTACCATGCTCCAGCAGACTCGATTAACTGAGTCTGCTCCAATGCACTGTAATTACAGCATGTCAGAGCAGCCTCACTGCACATGTATAGGTGCCCTGTGTCTCTGGCTCACTCCCCTATAAAGTTACTGAGAGTTGCATACTCTCTCCCCACTTTTCCATGTTTGTGTCAATGAGGAAAGCGCAGTAAGCTATCACATACTGAGGAGCTAGCATGATGCTCATGATACCCATCTCTAATTCACAAGCTACCATACACCACCTATTCCAGGGCCTGTATGAAAATCAGAAATTTGCTGAAAAGTAAATGCTTAAAGTTAAGACCAGATGAGACAGACATAAAATTGGTTGGATATGAAAAAAAACAGAAAAATTACCCTGCCTTATAACATCACACTAATGGAGAATAATTGCAAAAATCAGGAAATGAACACAGAGTCCTACTGATAATAGCTAAATTAATAGCAACAGATGCAATACCATTTGCCAGTACCCATAACTGACCAAGAATCTATTGTTTCCTGACAGAAATGGCTTGGTCAATGTGATGTTTTTGCAACCATAAGGCTTCATAATTGCACTGTACTAGACGGTTAAAAATGAAAGCACTGACATTTAAAAAGCTTCACCTGGTACAAGATGCAGCATCCCACTTGCTAAACACTACCAAGGCTGCGCTTATATTACCACAATAAGAATTAGATTGCATTGGCTCCCATTGAATGGCAGGTTAAATGGAAGGTTTTGATCCAGGTTTCCAAGTCCTCTACTGGCAAGCACCACCTTACACAAAGAATTAATTCTTCCTTCACTCTTCTATGACCTGTCATATTCCTTGCCAGTGGAATTACTGGCAATAATAGGACAAGACAAAGGAGAGGGGAGGTTTCTTGCTGCTGGTTTGTGGAACTCTTGCCTCTAAGCTTTAAAGATGGTCCCTGAACTGTTCACACACAGAATAAAACACTAGACTCAACCACATAAAATATTTCCCCTATTATACCCATAATGATTGAAGACAATGATTCTATCTGAGCTAGGGCAAATGAATTTTAACATTATACAAATCTAAAAGATAATACAACATGCTTAGATAGCAGGGTATATAACTCTATACTGGACACATCTACACATGCCCCCATGGCGCAGTTGTTACTGCACCATCGTTTAGTACATCAGTCATCATTTAGTACTTTAGGAAGTACTAAATGATAGCACACGGTTTTTAGCTGCTATGTCACCATAGCGAGGCGCTATAGTGAGAGAGCTCGTTGCTATGGTGACGCACCGGCAGCATCATGGTTACTGCCCGCCGATGCTACATCACCATAGCACATCACTGGCAATGTAGTGTCTCATGTAGCCATGCCCACCAAGTAATATAGACAGGATGAACAGAGAGTTAGTAGATAATACCATTTTCTCCACGGTTATTCCCTTTAAAAGACAGCATTTCTAAAACTAAAAGAGAATAGAAAGAAATAATGGCCCGATGCTGGTATACAGAGTTAGGTCCATCTTGGAAAGGAATTATACAGCTGTTTTTCTAAGCAAAGTCAGATGGTTTATTCACCTAATAAATGAGACACTAAATGAGTCTAGAAATTCTTGGCAACTGGTAAATGCTTACACCTTGGACTCAATACCCCCTTCTTCAAAAAATGGCTTGCTCTTCCCAAGAGTCTTCCAAAATGGCTCCTCAACTATGATTAAAAACAAACAGTGGGCTGAGGATCAGGTAAGCTATACCTGGTTAATGAAACAGCTCAAACAGCTACAACAGCAGTTAAGCCAGTCATCTAAACAGCTTTGCTGATCAGACCCCGTTTTATCAAGATCATAAATCTTTGAAAAAACTTGTGATGAAAGTTTGCAGACTTGACCTCTGCCCAAAGATTAGCTGTTTTAAAAAAAATCTAAATACATTTGTTGTTGCATTTTAATTCTGGAAGGGGCTGGGGGTGGGGCATGGTTATGATATTTTTAAGCTTCTCACACTTTTGAGGGGGCTCATCTCAAAAATAGCTATACATGTCTAGAGTGGTAAATTGGGATCCTGATATATCACAGGGGCCATACATAGTGCTCAATACAAGAAAGAAATTAAAACAATTATAAAAGAAGAATGAAAATATCACTGGCTTCTTCATATGCTCAATAGAAAATTTTATTTGGAACAACTACCAAACTACTATCAGAAACAAAAGATCCATAAAAACTGGGAATGAAACCTCTAAAAAAAATTACGAAAATTTGTATTAAGTGAAATAGGACACTTCTGTTTGAAACATTCAGCAGTCTTAGATAATCTGTCTTTACCTCCTAGTTCCTACACAGAGTTTCTATGTGACCTTGGGTAAAACATTTAAGCACCACAACAGTAGTAGTAATACTAGTATTACCACTATTCTTAATGCTTTTGAGATCCTCAGATGCCACAGTGATGACAGTTACGTAGTGATGACAGCTTCAGGGCCTCTGGAAGTAGAACTGTTGCGGTGTCATAAGGGATAACAAGGCAAGGGACAGCAGGAGCGGGGAAGAACGTGGTGAGCATGTGGGAAAGGATGGGTGAGGGAAATGGTGTTTATTACAGGGGCACACACAAATTACAGTCCCGAACCGTGGGAAAGGATGGTGCCATGGGATCCACATTATCCTCTGGATTTTATTCCATGATGAGTAGTATCACTGCAGCTTCAAGGAGAAGCAGCCATTTTGCCACAGTCCTGGAAAAGGATCCCTCTCTCAGTATGTAACCCTTTATTCAGTCAAGTCCTCTGTGGAGATCTCTGTACAGAAAACTAATGAGGATGCCATGCTTGATGGCATCCTCACTTGTTTGGGCAATGGTGGAAACAGCATATGCTTTCAGGCAAACTATTTTTCATTGCTGAAAAACCATGCCAATTAGCCCGCACCAAGTTAAATGACCCACCAACACAAGAGGGGTGAAAAATAAATAAGTTACCCAATTAAAATTAACATTTGTTGAAAAATGTTGCAACATTTGCTCTGCTGCCTCATAGATGTAAAAAGTGTTTTCATTAAAAAAAACCCAAAGAATACAGAATGCCTATACACGTGCAGCAAGAGTGCTCTGATGCACTGTAATTAGAGCATGTTGGAGCAGACCTGGTAATTACCAAACTCCAGCAGATCATTAATCAGACTCCAGCATCTCATGTATCAGTGTCCTCATGCTTTAGTTAAAGCGCACTCCCACCATTTTTCAGCGCAGGGACACTGATCCACGTGACAATCCATGCACTTTAATTAGAGAGGCTCTCACCCTAACTGCATAAATGTACCCCAGGGGATGCATTACCAACCATACCATTTCTTCCTTTTTGCTCCTATATCAGGACCTTGCTACAGTATTTTCCTTAACCATATCACTTACCATATGTATAATTCAACCCTTGTTTTGTTAAAGAAAAACAAAGCAAAGCATAAACAAAATTTTTTCCATGACATTTTCCCACATGGATTATATTGCTTTTGTCTCAACTGATACCATTTCTATAGTAAAGTCAAGTCTCTTTCAGTATGAAAGTATCTTTTTCATTGTTTCTATATAGGTTATTCCCTGGAAGACTATATCTGTTTTCCTTCATTTTCTTAGACTTTATTTTATTTCATATTTTTTTTAATTGGACATTTTGCTAGAAGTATAACCTCTATTTAAAACATGATGAGCCAATAGATGCTATTCATTTATTAAAAACAATTTTCCAACTTAAGTGGGCCATTAAACTTTAAAGTTTGTGGTACAGTTTAGCTGCATGCATGGAGGGACTAGTATAATTTTACTATCTTAGTTCCAGTTCCTTCTCTTCGCAACTGTATAAATCTATAAATGTTAAGTTTCATGGTGTTACTGCCTAAGGGGTCACATTCTATTTTCAGTGACACCTATGTAATCATGGAACAATTCCTACTGATTATAATGGGATTACATGAAATTTACATGGGTGAAACTGAAAGCAGATTTTTGTGCCTAAGCAGATATTCCTTCCCCTCCCTCCTTCTCCCACATTTGAGGAGGGTTATTTTATTCAGCACTGATTCAGAGATTCAGATTGGCTGGGAAGAAGCAGGCACAGCCGGGTACTCCTGCGACTCCCCTGGTTGTGCCTGCCTCCCCGGGTGGGGGGAGCCATGGGAAAAGCCCCCATGGATGCCCTGCCTGGCCCCATCCCCCACACAGCCCAACCTCCAAGCACCATAAAAAAACCCAACAACAAAAAATAATCCCCGCACTCACCAGCTGCAGCAGCAGCAATCGGGGCCTCTGGGGGCTCATGGCCAAGCTCCCCTGCACAATGCAGGGTAGTAGGGATTACTACTACCCCCCTTCCCCCGCCCTGCTTGGCACCAGTGCAGCAGCTGTCACAGAGCCCCCCCATGCAGTGCAGAGGAGTGGGGGTTAGCGGGGATTGCCACCCCCACCTAGCACCCGCACAGCAGCTGCCCCATGGCATGGGGGCAACACAGCTTGGCAGGACACTGTCTAAGAGCTGGGGCCATTAAGCCTGAGTGGTGCTGGGCTCCAGCTGACACATGGAGCCACCCCAGCTCTCAGACAGTGTGCAGCACCCTGCGAGCCATGCTGCACGCGCATGATGGGACAGCTGTTATGTGGGTGCCAAGCGAGGAGGGAAGAGGGGCTATCACTACTACCTTGTGCTGCGTGGGGGGGGCTCTGCCACAAGCCCCCAGAGGCCCTGATTGCTGCTGCTCCAGCTGGTGAGTGCGGGGAGTGGGGTGGAATGTGTTTGTTTTTAGAAGTGCCAGGAGGTTGGGGCAGGTGGGGATGAGGCCAGACAGGGCAGCCATGGGAGCTTTTCCTGTGGCTCCCCCCACCCGAGGAGAGGCTGGCACAGCCGGAGGAGCCATGGGAGAACCTGCAGCTGCCCAGCTGTGCCTGCCTCTCCCCGGCCAATCCGAATCTCCCCAAATTGATCTGGAGGCTTCAGATTCAATTTGGACCTTTTAATGGGTCTCCCAATTTGATTTAATTTGGATTCAAAGATTTGGCTGCCAAATCACACCGAATCTCCTCCAAATCGAATCAGCAACCTAATGAATCACAGTCCTAACGAAAATATACCCTACCCAATTACCACTTTTCACATGACGAATGCCAAACAAATTCCACATACCTGCCTTTAGGACAGTGCTGGGTGCATCCAGTTCCCTTTACTAAGTACACATGAGAATGGAGATGGGAAATAAAGCAGCTACAGGATATCTTTTCAAAATCTGGCATTCACAGAACAAGGGCAAGGTGGAAAGGTAGGTTTCCATAGCAGCATTCCCTAAAACAATCTGATTTGCCATACACATGTTCTATATGGCATCCCTAGACACCAAATCCACGCAGTGGAATAAGTAGTCCCTCTATTCCCATTTCCTTTCCCCTAGGAAAATGAAAAGGGAATGCGAGAGTGAATATACAATATGCAATGTCTACAGCAGTGTTTTTCAACACCCACCAGAAAATGCAAGCTAATTTTAGTTTTCATTTTTTATTTTTTTTACTACAAAATAATAGTACAACGCTTACGTTTTAAAGAACTCAGAAAGACCACAACAGGTCAGATCACTGGCATCACGTAGGGGGTGCATGTACATCCCCTGAGCATGTTGGTGCACCCCCTACGATAAGGTGCCGCCAACACTGCCAGTGGCACCTGCGAGCGGTTGCCGCTTGCCACCCTCCACCCCTTGCCACTGACACTACAGGCAGTCAGCAATCGCCACTGGTTGCTGTTGACACTGCCAGCAGCATCTGTGGGTGGTCTTCGACCCCTGGTCAGTGCTCGCAACACCCTGCCCTCCCACTGGCTTTGGCGGCATCTGCAGGAGCTCCCCGCTTACTGCTGCCATCCTCACGCCGCCACCAGCGCTGCCATGCCCCCCCAGCCAGGGGGTACGCATCATTCATGGGTCAGATTTTATTTTTTTAACACTGTGGATTCCTATTTGAAATCTTGAGTTTATCTTATAAATTATATTTACAGTGCTAACAGTGCTAACATTGTACGGCACCCTTGTAAGGATCTCAAGGCACCCTGGTTGAGAATCACTAGCCTAGAACAGCCAGCACAGATTGTATAGGCACAGGTACTAATCTGACACTAGTAAGGGCTAGTTGTGTATTGCCATCTCTCTGGAGCAAGGTAAGAAACTATGCATCTTTGAGAAAACTAGTTCTATGAGCTGCTTCTTGAGCAATACAGCAACCTTTCTCATCCGCAGGGCAGATTCTATTTTTAAAGAAGAAGTACAGTGTAGATTCCTGTTTTGTTTTACAAGGGACTGAGCACAATGACACACTCACACTGGACTGATTTACATCAGTTTTGTAAAACAATATTCATTACAGTGGGTTCCAGAATGGCCAAATGGCTAATCCAGTGCTGTTGACTGTAGGCTGCTATTACAGGCCTGACCACTAAATGGCAGGGCAGCTAATAATAGACTATTCACATTGTCCAGGTGCCTAACCCAGATTGTAAATGTTTAGGAGACATTCTCTGATAGTTTATCTGACTTCCAAACCAGTAACAATGTTAGGTCAATTTAAAGCCTAACAGCAATGGTTATTATAAGGATGCTTACTTCCATGACATCAGGTCATTTCTCATAAATTCAAATTACTAGTCTTCCTGACCAGTGCAGTAAATTCCTGGTTACA